CTGGCTTTAGGAAAATATCACATTTATCTGTGGATTTTCAAAGGCTCCAGTGTATTAATTTAATATATATACCTGAATATTAAGATGAAAGCAATTTTCCATTAACTGCCAGTGGCCTCATTTGTTACACTCAGCCCTAGAGGGCCTCGAACCTCTGACTAGACTTGCACGGTCTGCAACACTTGATCCTCTTTTTACTGTTTAAAAAATGTTCAGAAAAAGCTAGGAAGACATTTAGTACTTGTGGTCAAATTGCTATTCTGATGGGTCATTCCAATTTTCATGTCTTTGAACAAGAATCATTTGAATTACTGTGTTCTTTGGAACACTCAACACTCCCAGTTTTTATCCTGACTGATTTAAACCATGTAAAGCTGCTAGCCTATTATTTGGTTGCTATGAAAGAATGAAAAATGAGATTATTGAGAATTTAGGACATTTCTGTAGAACTGCAATCCTTTGGGTAGGGACTTTTTATCCAGATTCTTTGTTTTCCTTGTGCCTTGAACAGTGCTTGGGAGCATTTTTAATAGGTGATCAGTATTTATTAGAACTGTGATGAAATATGTTCTAAATTTGATCCTATTGGGAGCAATATGTCTATCAGGAGAAAATAGATTTAGGTTTGCAGTGCTATTCATCTCATGGTTTCTGACTGGTATTAGAAAGTGTATTCAAATAAACAAACTGGTGCTCCTACACATGGCTGTACTAGTTGTTTCCTTTCATAGTCCAAATTGTGTGGCTCCAGCTAAATAAAACTCTGCTCTATTATAGTAGCAAATACAGTTTTGTTGTGTGCAGACTTAAGGCGTGATTTTGCTGTATCACTGTGAATGGTGGTTTTTACACATGATAAAGCAGGCTAGCATGTTCATTTACAGCTAGAATAATCCAGTACCTTAAAAACATATTGTGATCTGCATTTTATATTTAGTGTTCAACAAAAATTTCTTCTTAGATAACTACAACAAAAATGAATGCAGGGAGGAGTGTAGACTGTACAATGAAGATGTTTAGCTTTACGGTGGAGTCTGAGTCTGGGTGTAACCTAACTAGCTAGAGGATATGCAATTTCTGATTGACAGCAGGACCAGCATTATGCAAATTTTATGAGAGAATATAGCTCAGAAACCATGATTAGGGGCTCCATTAGGAATCTCTTGAGTTCACCACTCATATTTTTAGGTTCTTTTTATTCTGTCTACTGGAATTGTAAACAAATAGCACAAAACAATGGCTCTTTTGTTTTTATTAAAGTGAGACTGCAGGGTAGCTTCAGTCTATCAGCTAGGCATACATGTGCAGAAATCCGATATTCTCCTTAAATTAGCTAATTTTTAGCTGTGTTCCATGCTTATCTCTAGACCTTTGTATATTAAATCCTCTCTTGAGTTCTTCCTTTTATACAAGTGTGTTTTGCTTGTGCCTTCCTGTCTTCTTCAGTGAGAAGCTTTATGTAGGTCAGGCTTGGCTTAAGCAGATTTCCTGAACCTGCGTCAGCTTAAGCTGGAGGAATTTTAATAAACCCTCCCCTGTAGGCGTGGGCCTAAATGAGGCTAGCCTAGTTAAGCCTGATCCTTTTCTGTTTGTGAAAAGAGCTGAGCAGAGCTGGAGGCTGCATGGTGGTTTCAGAAACTGCCTCCTTAATTTGAAAAGAACAATGGTAGGAAAGGCTAGATCTTCCAATTTTACCTTATCTGAAAAGCTTGATTTGCTAAAGCTTGTGAAGCCATATGTTAAAATTCTCGAAGAGCACACTAATAAACATTCAGTAATAGTGGAAAAGAATAGATGTTGGGATATCATAGCAGTTAACTATAATGGAATTGGAGTAGACCGCCCTCCTCGAACAGCTCAGGGCCTACGCACCCTTTACAAAAGGCTCAAAGAATATGCCAAACAGGAGCTATTGCAGCAAAAAGACACCCAATCAAATTTTAAAAGCAATATTTCTGAGCCAACCAAGAAAGTTATGGAGATGATTCCCCAGATTTCCAGTTTTTGCCTGGTAAGAGACAGGACCCACATACAAAGGTAAGCTTTCTTTTATTTTGTTGTGGGAAATTATGGCGCCTCCTACCTATTGACTGGGTTGTGGTTTAGTTGTGATACAGATATGTTTAGTAAGGATCCCCACAATGGGAGCAGTGAATAGTGGCTTTGTTTTACATTCTTTTAAAGGAAAAGTGAAGCTTTCAGGAATTTTTTTGCTGCATTTGATTTAAGCCACTCTTTGCTGTGTTCCCCTCTCCCTCCCCTTCTGTAGTTTCTAAAAAGTAAAGGTTAGAGAGGAACAGGACTAAATGGGGTGAATTTTATGGCTTTACCTCATTAACTTTCAAATCTTAAAAGTTATTTAAGTAGCTCTTGAGAGATCTTTTTCTTATTTTGAGATTAAATTTCATTGGGATTATCCATTTTATGTGTAACTGATATAAAGTTAGTAATTTTAAGAGAAATGGAACTTTTGTAGTCTAACATTTTATGAATGGTCTGTGTCCACATCAATAGGATAAGTACATTGAATTAAAAAAACAACTTTAATCAGCAATTAAGTAAATGTAATAATGGCAGCATTGTATGGAGTTACTTTTTACTAACTTATATTTAAAATAATAAAGATGAGCACAAAGAATGGAAGTTAAAGTCCAAGTATGGACTCAGATTGCTTAATAGATTTTTGTTCTTTTTAGTGCTCACTAATGGTCTAGTTTCACTTTGACCATGGGTCATACAGGAAAGGGTAAACTTTCTCTTATATTCTGCAGGTTTATCAGATTATGAATTTTTAGTCTCATAAGAGGAACAACTGGGTCCTTTTAAGGTTTGAAATAGCTCTTTGATTAAATTTGTGCTTCATATAAATTCTTGCCTGGTTATCTTCATGACTGTTATTTTCTCATGGTAAAAGATAAACATGGCAGCTACCTTCTTATTCTGAACCATTTAAGTAAATGATAAACCACCTTCTTGTTAGTTGAGAAGCCTTTCAAACAAAGCTTTATCATGTGCTCTCCTATTGGAAGTGTCATAGAAGCACAATGATTGATTACTTGTGAAGTTCTTTGAAGTTAGGAAGGAAACAGGTAAAACAAAACAAACAAAAAACCCTAAAACTTTTGGTGCAAACATATCTGTTATTTTGATAATTTACTAGGGAAATAGTTTTGATCCTAGCTTCTTAACTAGCTGCTTTTTTTCAGTTGATAACACGGGTGGGAATCCCAGGCATGACTGCACAGTGTATTAATTCATAGGGCAACTGTTTAAAATGTTCAGTGATGAAAAATAAATCCTAAAATACCAGTTGTGTCTAAAATAATCTCCACAGTAAAATTGTTTTTATTCTATGGTATTTATTTTTAAATGTTTTCCTAAAGAGGTAGAAAAGTCTTTTGCATTGCAGGGATAAAGCCATATATATACCTTTGCGCTATTGAAAACTACATGTAGAAATAATAGTAGGTTAGTTATTTGCATATTTAAAAAATATAGTGATAGTACAGAGGAAAAATAATGAATATACAAGTGTCTTTACATTTTGGGTGGTTGGAATATACATTGAAATCTTTTGAGTACCATGATTTCTCTAATAAAATTATTTGGTTGATTTATGCATTTCTGTACATACTGTTAATGGGAGAAAGATAAGGCTTTCTGTTCCCATAAAGGTGTACAGCCTTGGAAATGATATACAGGGTCACTATGGGTTGGAGCTGACTTGATGGCACTTAACAACAACATCTGCTATTTAAACAATCTCAAAGTTTTAGATTTTTTAGTGTCACCTAAATTGTTACTTATAAATGATATATCTACAGTACTATTTTCTCTATATTATGCTTTTTCATTTAATATTTTGTGTGCTTATATTTATATGATCGACATCATCTTGAATCTTAATTATTGTCTCAGAAGTTTATAATTATTCTGTGAGCTTAATTGTGCTTCTATATAAATATGCCTGTTAATCTCATGAAACTTATTTGTTAACAGGAAAATATTACTGCTTATATGTAAATTGTTTAACATGTTAAAAAAATATAAACCTACTGTTTATTTCTGTAATTTACATTGATTTACATCTTGATTAAGAAGCCATGGTAGCCTAGTGGTTTATGAGCCAGGCTGTTAACTGCAAGTTCAAATCTGCCAGTCCCTCCTTAGGATAAAAATTAGGCCTTCTGCCCCCATAAAGATTTACAGCTTTGGAAACTATATAGGGTCACTGTGAGTATGAACTGCCTTGGTGGCATACAGCCATCACCACTTTATCTTTATTATCCCTACTCCCTGGTATTAGATTATACTTGCTTTGTGTAACCAATTTGATCCTCAAAGTTCAGACTTCTAAGTTTTAGAAGTCCTTCTCATTTTTATGACTCTCTAAAGCATTTCCTCATCTTTGCTATGCCTTACTTTCAATGTTTTAATGAAAATGGGATGTAATATTTCAGATAATGTTGTTGTTGTTAAGTGCCGTCGAGTCGGTTCCGACCCATAGCGACCCTGTACAGGGTTTCCGAGGCTGTAAATCTTTACAGGAGCAGAACGCCTCATCTTTCTCCTGCGGAGCGGCTGGTAGTTTCGAACTGTTGGCTTTAAGGTTCGCAGCCCGATTCGTAACCACTACGCTACCAGAGCATATAGGGCATATTATTAATTTACATGGGAATATTATGTCTGTTTAATTGTAGGTCATGTTCTTTATTATACATATTTATTTGCAATTGTGATTATATGGACTTTAAAACTTAATTTTCTTAGGAGATTTTAACCTTTTTTAGAAGCAAATGTATAGGAGCAAACCTTACTAATTTGAATTATATTTATGTCTATTAATGTTCCAATAAACTGCACCATTAAGCAATTTTTTAAAACCATACAAAACCTAGATTTTTCTTTTATGAAAATTGCAGAAGTTAATACCTTGCATAAATGACCTTGCATGATCCTCCTAGAACTAAGGGTTGAACATAAGACTTGTTTAGGGATAAATTTATCTGAAAGGACTTTGGTGATTTCTAGATTAGCTCAGGAGAATAGAACAGGGGATCTAGGACTGAGGTGGGGCATAGCAAGGTCCAGATGTATTTAACTGCCCATTACATCATTTAAGAATTTCAGATTTGTAGGGGTGATTGGTATCTTTGAGAGCTTTAAAATAAATTTCTCTTTTTTTATTGACTCCATTGGATTTTGTAATATTAAATGGCCTGACTTTAAGGTTAAAGATGATGGCCATACACATGCGTGGTGGCTAGGGGGTTACACATTGGGCTGTTAACCACAGACTTGGCGGGTTTTATTTACCAGCTTCTCTGAGGTAGAAAGATGAGGCTTTCTGTTCCTATATAGATTTAGAACCTTGGAAACTCTGCATAGGGTCGCTATGAGTCAGAACTGACTTGATGGTATACAACATTTATCATCAAAATCCTAATTATAGTTACTTTGTTATTCTAAGAATTAACATTTTCTTTCTTAATTTTCTTTATGGGGTTCTGGTTGGCACTGTAGGATAAGCACTGGACTGCGAATTGCAGGGTTGTGATTCAAACCTATTAGTTGATCCTCAAAAATCCTATACAAGTTTGCTCTGAGTCAGAACTGATTTGATGGCACACAACACCAACAACATACATCATTGAAATCCTAACCATGGTTGCTTTGTTATTCTGAGGTTAAAAATTTTGTTTCCTAATTTTCTTTATGGAGTCCTGGTGTGGCATTGTAGGATAGGCACTAGACTGCTAGCTGCAGGGTCGCTGGTTCATACCCACCAGTGGATCCTAAAAAACCTTATACAAGGTCATTGAGTCAGGGTTGACTGGAGGGCACTTAACAACAGTTTTCTTTATTGTGTTAAAGCTTGATAATCTAATGTATATATTAAATATAACTTAAATATCCTTTTGTTTTCATTTTATTTACATTCTATAATGCTTTTTTGTGTGCTGTAGTGCAAACTTGGATGAGGAAGCACAGGCTGGTACCAGTTCACTACAGGTAATGTCGGATCACCATCCTGTTGCTATTACAGTGGAGGTGAAGCAAGAAGAAGACGTTAAACCACCTCCTCCACTGGCTTTAAATTCTCAACAGAGTGGTACATTAGAGCAAAGAGAAGAACATGACGTAGTACATGTTATGGAAAGGTCTTTGTCACCGTCACCGTCACTGTCTTCTGTTGATATGAGAATGACATTGTCTCCATCTTCTATTCCAAGGAGAGATGAATTTTTTCAGCGTGACTGTGGAGGACACTTTAGGTCCATACTAGGGTATGATCCTCAGATTCTGCAAATGCTGAAAGAGGAGCATCAGATAATTTTAGAAAATCAAAAAAATTTTGGATTGTATGTTCAGGAGAAGAGGGATGGATTGAAAAGAAGGCAACAGCTAGAGGAAGAACTGCTAAGAGCAAAAATTGAAGTGGAGAAGCTCAAAGCAATTCGCTTACGACATGATCTGCCAGAATAGAATGGGCTCTAAATTTTTTTTTTTTTTTAATGGATCTTGCTATTCAGTAGTTATAATTTTAACCCAAAATTTCCATTCAGAAAATACTAAAGCAAAATGTATATTCGTTTTTTTTTTTTTTTTTTTAACTTCTTACTGTGTATCCAGTGAAGATTTGTAGAAAAAAATTCATATTCTTGAGAAATTTTGTTACTGCTTTCTATTATGGAAAAGCTTCTCTTGACATGAGTTATTACTTATTAAATGTTCTTTTGTGATATATTCACATTTACTTATTGGTTGGTGTGATTATATATTTTATTGTCTTCTGAACACTTTAAAAAACCTTTTAACCGTTGTCTTATTAAAGATAATTTCTTCTGCTCAACATGTTTTGTGTTCTCAAGTCGATTCCTGCTCATAGTGAACCTGTAGGATAGAGTAGAACTGCCCTGTAGGATTTTCTAGGCTGGAAACTGGAGTCCTGATGCTATGTATTAATGTGTGGGACTGCAAAGTTGGTTTGAACCTCAAGGTCAGCAGTTCACGCTCACCAACCACTCCTCTGAAACCCTATACTGGGTCACTAGGAGTTGGAACTGACTCGACAGTATTTAACAACAACAACAGCAACAAATGTGGCACTATAGAATAAGCACTTGACCTCAAGGTCGGTTTGAACAGCAAGGTGGGCAGTTCAAAATCACCAGCCGCTCCTTGAAAACCCCATACGGCATCACTATGGGTCCGAACTGACTCTAGGGCACTTAACAACAACAACAAAACTTTATGGCAGCAGGTTGCCTGTCGGGGACCCGCCTCGACATTGGGGTTCGGTTCACGAGGAGAGGATACCTGACTGTGAGTCACATATATCAAGAATACACAGACAAAAAGAGAGACAAAGAGGCACCCCAAAGCCAAGGTGGATACATCACTGGTGGGCAGGCCTGGGAGCACAGGCATCGTGGCCTCTGCAGGCAGCAACTCACTGCCCTGCAATCTTTACCGCATGCCTTCCAGCCAGTAATGCTCTGCCATCTTTACTC